GGTGGTACAGCGCACCGGTACTACGGTGCACCAGTGGTACAGTGCACCGGTACCACGGTGCATCGATGGTACGGTGCACCGATGGACGGTGGACCAGTGGACCACCGTCACCGTTGCATCCCTATGTATAAGATGTACTAATAAAGACTTTAAAAGGATTTAGGCTTCTATTGAGATTTGACTAAGATAAGCTATACAATTTTGTTTTGAAATTTCGCGCATATACAAAACTTAACGGGACTAGTGTTCATAATAAACTTCACAAGTTTGCAATAAAGTCTCTCCGAGGTATGAAACTTTTCTTTTCTCATAGATAGCGTATATTAATACATATTTTGAAAACTTGCGAGTTTTTTTTATGGACGCTAGTCCCATTTAGTTCTACATATGCGCAAAATTTCAAATCAAATTCTTTTAGAGTTTTTATTAGAACACTTTATAGAAAAAAAAATCATTGCAATCAAAAAAGCACATCTGAGTCAATTATCTCCTTAGTCTCAATGTGGCTATAATATATCAATCAATCTACTCAACACAAATTACAAAAAAGATATAATGATCTATTATTACAATATAAAAAAGAAATATTTTTACCATTTGCTTGAATAAATAACTGTTCTTGAAATGATTCATATTCATCATATTGTTTATCTTCAACAATATCATTTTGATTTATAGTAGAACTATTCATTTCAATTTTAGTATTTGAATTATTATTATCGAAAAAATTTTTCGGATTTCTAGCATGTCGACAAACAACATTAACTTGTTCAGCACAATCTTTTGTTATACGATATAAATTATAATCAATACCAAATATTGATTGTAAATGTTTATCAATAATACACATACGATCTTTTGATAATGCTTGTGTATTACGTACACGACCATCTAATGATGCATTACGTAATTCTTCATTAGAAAAAAATTGTCGAATTAAAAATGTTAATAAACGACCAATAGCACGTTTTTCACCATGAATATATGCTAATTCAGTACGACGACGTACTTGATCATATTTACGTTTTAATATAAGACAAGATAAACCAATTGATGGATCACCAAGTTCAATATATTCCTAAAAAGAAAACACAAATATATTAATCATAGATTGAAGACAATAATCAGTATGAATATAGAAAAATTTTAACAAGTTGTTTAATTCCTAAAAGAAAATGAAGTTCATTGAATACGAAATTTTGATAGTCAAACTGTACACTTAATATTTACCATAAAAAACTATTCGCATTAAGACCTTTCTGTACACAGTTTCAAATAGAAATTCGAAAAGTTTTCTGATGTTCGTAAGCTTAAAGACTCGAAGTTTTTTCAAGGTAACCATAGCTTACTAGGGTCTACCTATTGCACATAGTCTCGATTGATTAATTCCGAGACACCTTTCATAAGATACTTAGGAGAAGTGCGAAATTAACTTAAGAATATCCTTCCTTTCTGGAGTA